CTTGTCCCTGCCAGCCCCTGTGTGAAGAGTTAAGTGCTCACTCCTCCCTTCCCCCAATGTGTGAGGAGCTAAGCACAGGCTGCTCTGTGCTCCAGGGCAAGAAGGTAAACTCATGGTTATCCCTGGTCTGTGGGGCGCTAGTTAATAGTTAGACATACCAGAATGACATGTAACCATAATGAATAGAGGTAATAAAGAAAAAGAGCCTTCATCAAAGAGGATTCAAATCGTTCTGAACTGAAAGCTTAATATTTACATTCTGTTTTGACTGCTCCATGTGCTTGGTCATCTAGGCAGGCAAGGTTCTTTGGGTAGATGTGATATCTTTTATTAGACCAACTCAAATAGTTGAGCAAAAGTTCTTTGCAAGCTTTCAGGTACAAACACCGTCTTCAGGCACTGGGAGACTGCTACTGTTATGAGTGCTTCAAGGTAGAAAAGAAGGTAAAGTGTAACCAAGAAGTCTGTGAAAATGTAAATAAGTGGAAGTTTGGAAGACAATGAGTGGAGATAGGAGGGGAAGGGGGGTAGGGAGGGACTTGTGTGAAGGAATGCAAATGGCCAGCTTCAGGCAGGTGACCTGGTGAATTATGTCAGGCAGGTTATAATGTGTCATAAATCCAATGTCTATATTAAGTCCATAAATTCTGTCTCCAGTAGATTTATGAAGTGAAGTTTGTAGGCTCATCTATGAAAGGTGTTTTGTAAGATCCCTTTGAGGATTAGAATTGAGAGATTGGAGAGGGAGTGATTGTTCTGTGAGACATGGGCACCCGCAGGTAATTGGATACTTTTGTCTTTGATGGCTTTTTGGTGTGCATTCATTCTGGTGTGCAGTTGTTGTTTGAACCTCCAGAAATGTAACATATCTCAACCAGTTCACCAAATGCCCTGACAGAAAATATGTAGGAGAAACCAAACAACAACTGCTCACCAGAATGAACACACACTGAAAATCTATCAAAGACAAGAATAACCAACTACCTGTAGGGGCGAATTTCTCACAAGACAATCACTCCCTCTCCAATCTCTCAGTTCTAATCCTCAAAGGGAACTTACAAAACACCTTTCGTAGATGAGCCTATTAACTTCATTTCATAAATCTACTGGATACAAATAATCATGGACTCAATGTAGACATTGAATTTATGACACATTATATAACCTGCCTGACATCTGATTCACCAGGTACCTGCCAGACCTGACCTCTTACATTTTCCTTTTGCCCCACATTCTCCCTTACCCTCCCCTACTTTTCTGCCTTTTGTTTTCCTAATTTCTAGCTATTTCCTTTTTCACAGACAGTCTCTTTACTGTAGTCTCCCTTACTCACCTTTGGCTCCCCACCCCTATCATTTTCCCACCTTCCTTTCCCTGCTCTATCTTTTGTTTTCCTAATTTCTACCTTTTTACATCCTCACTGACATCCGGTCACATGTTTAGCTTCTCTCATTCCTTGGAGTCTCAGAACAGCAGAGACTCCCTATGCCCAAAGAAGAGTGATTGTGCCTGAAAGCTTGCTAAGAACTTTTTTCCAACTACTCAGTTGGTATAATAAAATATATCACATCTACCCAAAAAACCTTGCCTGCCTATGTCCTTAGGCCAACACAGCTACAACTAACAGCTCTGGTCATCTAGCGTGCTTTTAATGTCTGACCTCTGCACTAGAACTGGTAAATATATGCACTGCTATCAACAGACAATATTGGAAGTACACAGTGGCTACATCTAAACAAGATACTGACTGTACAGTTGTAACATCAGAAACAGCTTTGGTGTCAGTGTATTGGGAAAATATTTTAGTGGTTAGCATATAAAAATATTACTTTCTAATTAAAACTGAGATGTTGCTGGAAACATGAACAGACACTTTCTTACTCTTTAGAAGGAAATTATTGTCTCTGCTCCTAATGTAATTTCAAAGTTCTTTCTTTTTTTCCCTTTAACATTGAGATTGCACAAGGAAGGGAGAAGTATAGTGTTTAAAGATATAGTTTTCTTGTCTTTCTCTTGCAAAGTATAATGAAACTTGATGATGTTCCCTCATAAATGCTTTGTGTTAAGTGCTTTTCACAGCTTAAAGGCAGGTTTTTACTAGGCTGGCACTTAATTAACAGAATATTGTTTGTTCTTTCTGTATATAGGAGTTGGAAATGTGTTGGTGTGTACAAGTGTGTGTTCTCTTCCATTTCTCTTTTGGACAAAGAGAGATTGAATTTTTTACCTGATAAAAACTAATAAAGGATATTTAACATAATGAGAGATCTTGCAGCACAGACCATTTTGCCTCACTCCCTTTGGTTTCTCACACTTTGTCCATCACCACAGCATCTATGACATGATTAGCAAAAGAAAAGAAGCCAAGTAATGTAGATCAAAGACTATCAAAATGGGGATTTAGAGGGGTCAGTCTTATCTTCCTTGTGTGGAAAGTATTCAGGAGGTGGCTAAATTTTAATGAGCCATACAGCCAATATCATTTAGCTTAAGCTCACATTTTAAAGGTGTTAGGTAAATTTCCCTTGAGCGTGAGGATAATGAGGTCAGAGATGGAGTGGTTGTCCTGTGAGAAACCTGCTCCTAATGATGAGTGTATTTCTCTGCCCTACACCTTCACCTACACCTACACACACACATACACACATTTCTATGAGAGTTCATTCTGGCATGTAGTTGCTGTTTATTTTCATGCATATTGTTGGCATGAGGTCATTTGGCATTTGGTGCATTGGATCAGGCACACCACTACTTGGGAAAGGCATGTGTAGGAACCATGGATTTTGATGGTTTCTTTATGGGGTGTGTTAACAGTAGTGGCAGTGGAGATGTGCTGACATGCCAAGCGTCTGTGTTCCACTTGGTCTGTTGGGCAGTGGATAGACTGCTTCAGATGATGAGTTGGGTAAGATTGGGGGGCTGTTTGAAAGCCAGGAATTGAGATGCTGAGAATATTTCTCTCAAGGTCAGATCTTTGCCCAGGATGGGTTGTGATTATGCACTGATGCTTCCTTTTTACTGGTTCCAGTCTGGGGCAGGTGGTCACCAGTGTGTGTGGTCGTGGGGGAATTTCTTTTGGTAGCAGGTTAATGTGGGGTATTTGAGTAGCTTGCTGCAGGGCCCTCAGTGTACAAAGGCAGATTTCAGGCTGGGCAGGGGGGCATAGCAAGTCTTCATTGAGCAGACATGGGGCCCCTCCTTGAAGTCATGCTTCACTTGCTACCCCTGGCTTCCTAGAATCAGGCACCTGAGGAAGAAAATCTTCTGTTTCAAAAATCGTCTAACTATCCCAGCTGCACAGCTGGGCCAATAAAAGACATGGCCTTGAGACGGCCTGTCCCCTTGCATGACTCCTGGCCCACTGTGGCTCCAGCATTACTCTTGCATTTGAGGAGCTGATCCTAGTGGGGGGGAGGGTGTCCATGCTGCCCTGTGCCCCAGCCCTTCGGACTGCAGCCCTTTCCCGCTGTGCTGCAACAGGACGACCGGTGCCCCGGCCCGGTTCAGCACCGCGGAGAGCGCCCGGCCCGGCCCGGTTCAGCACCGCGGAGAGCGCCCGGCTCCATCCCGGGGCTCAGGGCGGTGCCGCCGGGCCGACACTGCCCCAGCAGAGCCCGCAGCCAATGGACAGCGAGCGGAGGCGGGGAGGCGCCGGGGTAGCGCATCGCTGTCTGTCCGCTGCCGCTCACTCGGGCGCAGGCGAGCGGCTCGGATCGACCTGACCCGGCCCCCGCGGGTCTCCAAGGTAGGGACAGCTCCGGGATGGGATTGCCCGTTGCCCGCCCCCGCCAGTGCGGAGGGAGTCTCCGACCGAGGGGATTCCCCTGTCCGGACACTTGCTTGGGATCTCGTGCTCAGGCTGGGTTCAGCATCGTGGAAGGGTGTCGTGATCCATCCCCCAGCTGGGGAGGGAAAGGGGGGAATTCTCTCTCCTGCTCATTGCCACCTCCATCGAGGGGCTCTGAGCCTTTTCTCTGCTCCCCAGGAGTGACTACTCGAAGTGACTGGTGTCTGTGAGCAAGGAGCACTGGTTTTAGCAGTCCGGCTGGGCTGATGTTGCCCTCTTGGTCCCTCTGTTTCCTTGCATGTGCGTGGGGCAAAGCAGGTAGTCGATTTGGTGGCCCTGATTGTCTGAGAATCCTAGAGGAGGGAGCTGCAGAGGTCGCCTTGTGACTCTAGTCCAACCCCCCACCTGAGGCAGGATCATCCTTATCCAAGCAGCCCATACAATCCATAATCTAAACTCTACATCAGACTATCCTCAACCCTGACACAGCACAGACTTAGCCAAATCTGCTGCAGGTCAATGCAGGGAACCACAGAAGCCAATGTCCTGCTTCTAGGAAATGTAGTCAATATGTGCTCAAGAGATCCCACCTCCCTGCTGCAGAGGAAGGCAACACTCCC